AAACCATGTTTTCTGCCTTTTAATATGTCTTGCCATTTTGTCTTGATAGCCAGACATGTTGTACTTCAGAGAAGGAATAACTGTGTGAATAGCCTTCAGTGGTATCGTGGTCAGGTGTGTGGAGTGCAGGTGTGCTGAGAGTTCTATAGGCCTGTGGTTGGGTCTCAGTCTTTGTGAGCCTGTGATTCTGGGCTACGAACTCCACCTTCCTTCTTAGTCCCTGTGACGTGGCCCATTAGTTGGGCCAAGATATTTGGAAGGGGCTACCTTCACCCCGACAGGTTATACTCTGATAAACCCCCACAGGATTGTGTCTGGTTAACTAGTTTCCCCAGGACAGACCTTGTAAGGAAGAATACCAAGCACTGGCACCTTTCAAAATGGCTCTCTTTCCTGTCCTGCTTCCAACAGGGTATTTTTCTTCAACATTTACCATAAGGATCTAGTGGATCTCCTGGAGGTACAAGTCACAAAGGTGCAGGCTGCTGTGACTGGGTCCCCTGGAAGATTTTTCCTTCAGACTTGTGCATGCTGACGCCTCACAGTCAGGTTTCCCTGCCTGGCCCTGGTGTCTGGAGAAGTGGCCATTCCCGGGTTTCTGCTCCAGGGGGTTGTGATTCTCTATATTCACCTCTTGATGATGCAGTTTTGGGGGGCAGAGGTTTCCTGTGACCCCAGTTCTCTTGCAGATCTGAGAAGCACAGTTGGTTTTTCAATTTGTTCAGCTTTTCTATATGTTGTCAAGATGGAGCCACTTCTTAGGTGCTAGGTTAGAAACTGGAAGTCACACTATTAACTTTTTTTGATTGGATAGTGTGTGTGTGCTGACACGACTTTGACAACCAGATCATAATGATAATCAGTGCAGAGGTTGTATTGAACCATAGGCCCCAAAGCCCTAGTTGCTGTTTTACTTCTTATCAAAGAACATTTATATAACTTAATTTTTAGCTTAACTGCAGGAATTGATGATTATCTGACAAACTGGACATTTTTGTTTGTATCACTTGCCCCTGCCAGTGATTGTAGTGGAAAGCTAAGGTCCTGACACTTTACATGTTATCTGTTCCTGTTGCATTGTGTGCAAATCAGTTTTTTCTTCACAAAAGCAAAACAAACACTTCTATTTATTTATTTAGCAGTATTGGGGATCAGACCCAGGATGTTAGGCAAGTGCTCTACCATGAGCTACATCTCCAGCCCTTTTTAAATTTTATTTCTAGTTAGGGCCTTGCTAACTAAGTTGCCTAGGCTGGCCTCGAGCTTGCGATCAATTCTCCTGCCCCACCCTCCTGATCTATATGCACAATCATTGAACAATTCTTTGACCAAAATTAAGTGGAAAATAAAAATAAAATGAACTTTTGATTTTTGATTTTTCTATTTTCTTAAAGATTTCAAAGTGAAGTGAACATATCCAGAGGTATAAGAAAATCTTAGGCCTCTTGTTTACCTCCTGTATTTTTTTTTTCTGGTTTCTGAGACAATTCTATTATGAAACAGGTTCATATTTATTGTAGAACATTTGGAAAATATAAAAGGGCACATTAATTGAAGCCAACCTACCCTTTCCTTCTCCTAAAGTTATCTGCTATACAATTTTTTGCATATACATTGTCCCACTGTTTCTAAGTGTATGTATTTTTATTTTTTTTCCTAAAAATTGGATGATATTTTATGATATGTTCATTTAATGGATGTTATACAAATGGGTTTTGAATCTTACTTTTTCATTTAAAAATAACTACTGGGGCTAGGGTTGTGGCTCAGAAATAGAGCACCCGCCTAGCATGTGTAAGGCACTGAATTTGATCCTCAGCACCCCATAAAAATAAAATAAAGATATTGTGTTCAATTATAACTAAAAACTACATTAAAAAAAAATAAAAATAACTACCAAGTCCACTTAGTAAATTATGATATGTTTTATCAGAATGTTACTGTGTAGCTATTAAAAGAGTGAAGATGATCTGTATGCACAATCATTGAACAATTCTTTGACCAAAAAGTGGAAAAAGCAAGACATAGAATAGTGTGGAGGGTGTGCTACCATTTACATATTTTTGAAAGCCACATGCTTATGTTTGCTGTGCGTTTGACTTCAGCTTTTCTCTAGTTTGACAAATACCAAAGTGAACATCCTCAGAGCTAAGTCTTCCAAGACACTGTATTTTCTTAGGAAAAAAACATGGCATGTTCAGGTCAGGGGGTATTACAAGCTTTCAGGGCTTTGATGATTGATGGGAACTGACAGATTGCCTGCCCTAAATTTATATCCCCACCAAAATGGGAGCGTGCCTGTTCCCTGCCTACTGGCCGCCATGGTGAGTCACTTTCATATTCATCCATGCTAATTTGACAGGCAAAAAGAACAAAGGAGAAAAAAGAGAATCTTCTCAGTTAAAATTATATTTCTTTGATTTTCAGTCAGGTCTAACATTTAAAAATGTGTTTAATGCCAATTTGCTTTTCTTCTTTTGTGAGTTCCTGAATTTTTGCCCTTGGCTTATTTTTCCTTTTAAGTATTTGTCTTTTCCCCCACTGTCATTTAAAGTCTCTTGATAGCTAGGATAGGAAGCCTTTATCTTGCCTATATTCTGCAAATATTTTTCTAGTTTATTTGATTTTTTTTTGTTTTGCATTCATTATTTTTAACATAGAGGATTTGGTTTTTCTTCAGCCAAATCTTTGTTATCCTACTTCAAGATACCTTCCCCAGCTCAAGATTAAACATCTATTCATATTTTCTTCTTAGGTATTCAAGTTTTTAAAAACATGCCTTTAATCCTTATGGAATTAATTTTGGCATATTCACAGAACCGTGTTTTTAATGGTCAGCCATTTTCTAACCGATTACTGCTGGTATATGGGAAAGCCAAAGATGTTTATGAGTTTATTCTAAAATTGGCAGCCTTTCTCAAATTCTTATTCTGATTTTTAGTTGCTACTCTTTTTCTAGATCTTTTTAATATTTATACTTCTTACTTTATCTTCTTTTATTTCTTTGGCTCTAATTTCTCAAATAGCATTAGATAGTGGTATGGATCTTTGATTATTTTCTTAACCAGAATTAATCTGGTGTCTTTTTCCTCTGTGTGCATGTCCCTCCCATCAGTCTTCCACACTTGGCTCTAGTTGGCACGCTCCCAGGGCTGAGCATCTGCTGGAAGAAAGCTCTGTAAAACACCATCTTGGAGTTAAGAACTGACTACCTCACCCACATGAAGGGACTTGGTTCCCTTGAATGCCTGTTGCATATTTCTGGCGTATGATATAAATCGTAAAAAGGGGTACAACCACGTGTCACTTAATGACAGGAACGCTCCTGAGCAATAAATACATGCACCAGTAGGCAATTTCATCATTGTGTGAACATCACAGAGGGTACTTACACAAACCTGGGTGGCGAAGCTTACTCCATACCTAGGAGGCATGGTGCACATTTGAAGCCTAGCCTGTTGTTCTGAGGGCCATGATGACAACCTGAGTTAAATCAAGCACAAGAGAAATCAATGCAATCAAGAGATGCTGTAAACACAAGACGCAGGAGGCAACTGCTGGTGTAACACCGCGTCCTGTTTACAGTAAACTTTCTTTTCAGTAAGCAAGAATACCCTCTTAAATAATGGTTAAAATGTATAACCTAGTAAATACATAAACCAGGAGCAGTCATTTATTGTCATCAAGTATTATGTGCTGTACATAGTCTCATGTGCTCTACTTTCTCCATGGATGGTAGTGCAGTAGCTATGTTCTCAGTGCAGAGCACTGAACCTGGCTGTTCCCTCTGAGTTCTCTGTAGGGTGTGACCTGCTCTCATCAGGTGGTTCCCTCTCACCTTTGACGAACACCCCAAATTGTGCAGCTCCTCATCTCCCCGAGTGCAGCAGCTTCCCCGATAACCACAGGAAGTCTGCCGAACACGAGGCCCATTTAATTCTTCAAGGGACAGTACGGAGGCTCTTGGAGAAGGCAGATGGCCCCTTCAGATCTAATGGGGGTTATTCCCCTAGGCTGCCTTGGGCCGTCCCTCCTATCAGAGTGCCAGCTGGGCTCCTACCAGCTGCTGACAGGGGTCAGGGAGGTTTCAATGGGAGAATAGTTTCAATGGGAGTTTAGTCAGACAGCCCTGGGGTGCAGGGTTCCCCATTGTGTGCTGCTTGCTAAAGGAAAGACAGTTCCAGGAGAGTGACTTGGTCAGGGGCGGGGGCGGGGGGCAGCACCAGTCCTGCCCAGGGCATCCCTGCAGTGGTCTCTGCCCTCCTGGCACTAGCTGTGGCTGTGTTTGTCTCTCCAGGGCTCCTCCCATGACTTTCCCTTGTCAGTCCCCATCTCCTCTCAGGCCTGTCTTTCTGTCACCCTACGTCCTTGCCCTTTGTCTCTGGGGCCCCTGGCACCTCTGACAATACCTGGGTATTTCCTTCCTCACCGACAGTCTGTCTCGCAGGCTTGGCTCCCTTGAAAGCTCCTCTTCCTTCCTCCTCCTCCCGGCCTCTCCCCGTCTCCTTCCGTCTGTTTCCACTTTGTACGTTTATACTTGGTCTTGTCTGACACGCCAAAGAATTTAAGAGGGTTATTCAAAGCTTTATGTACTCACGACTCTAAATAAATGTAGTTGGATCGGGTTATTTTTCTTTTTTGTTCTTTGATGAAGCCAGAAACTTGAAACATTTTCTACTTAGCTGAATTTATTTTTATTCAAAATATTTTCATTTCATTAAATAAATAATAGAAGCCCGTGTTTTAAAGTGCTAACTAGACTGTAAAATGCTCGGCTTTCCCACTGAGGGATCTCTGCAGCTAGGGTCAATAGCCTCAGAGAGACAGAGAGAAGCAGAGGAAAACTTTGGACAGCTGTGCACCTCTGCTTTTTCACATACCAAGGTCCGCATGGACGATGCCCCCTTCGTAGGATCTTTCCTGGGCCTCAGCTGGACTGACCAGTCTCTTCTTTCCCTTTTCGGCGTGTGTGTCTACTTGGTGGGCTCCGGAAACCTCAGGATGAAGTTTTGACCGTGATCCGAAGAGTGGACGATAACTGGGCCGAAGGCATGCTGGGAGACAAGATTGGGATCTTCCCCCTGTTGTACGTGGAGGTAAGCTCACCAGTCCCTCGCCTCCCGAGTTGCCGTGTGGTTTGACCCTAGAACCCCTTTCCCAGGGGGAACTCATTCACCAGCGCTGAGGTGACAGAGTTGCCACAGGGGTCTTCCATGCAGATCGCCCCGCGAGTGCGCTAAGGATTGACTTGGTCCATCCCAGGCCTGGCCACAACAACCTTCTCACCCTGGGTCCAGGAGGACAGAACATGCAGCCTTCGCCCTTCTCTCTGACGCTTGCTCCTGACACCCGTGTTCTGGAGACTCCCAAGTCCTGCTGCACTCGTCTCCTAACCCGAGGGGAGAGGAGTCTACACCGAGGTAGCATTTCCTTAGACACTGTCAGCAAACGTTGCCAGCCACCTGAAACATCCTCTGGGGCTGTTGAGTCATTCATGCACCCCAGTCACTCAGCAAAGGTGACCTCTCAATTTCTTATCTGTTTTCTGAAGCCAGGAAACACTCGGGTTCGGTCGTGGTAGGAGAGTTGCTGAGCGGGGACCATCTGAAATGCCAGTCTGCCATGGGGTGTTTGTGTGGAGGAGTGTTTGCCATAGCGGGTGTGTCCGTCATTCGTCAGGGCAAGGCGATGCATGGACATTCGTGACCAGCCACATGCTTACATCCTGTTGTCACTAAGGTGGTCCTATAAGAATTACTTCAGCTAGCGCAGACCGAGTGCCAAATACTTGTCAGTCGTTCTTACTTTAATCTTCCCAACAATATGGGCATCTGAAAACAATGAGTGCCCCCATTTTACAGATGAGCAGACAGAGGGCTGCCAGGCCCCTCAGCTGATACCTGGCAAGGCTGGGGTGGAGCGTAGGCAGTCTGGTTCTAGGCTTAGCTCTTCTTCTGCTGCCCAACACGTTCTCCCACCAGTGACCTGCACTTCACTCGGCGAGAAGTTTCCACCTGCCCACTTGGCACACAGGCCTTGAGAGTCCAAGAGGAGCTCGTGATGCCACCCCCACCAGCTGGTGTGTGGACGCCAGTACACGTTCGTTAACAATGTTTGCCATTGTCTCCTTGTCTACAGAGTAAAGTCCTGTCACTGTGGCATTCTGGGCCCTCTGTAGGGTAGTCCTCAACTATTTTTCCAGTTTCATCTCCCCCCTTCTTCCCCTCTTCCCTAGATTTTCGGAAACAAGTTTATCCCACATTTACCTGGATAAGCGACCCAGGACATTCTGAGACCCTCCTGTGAAACCCTTTGTCTTTACCTACTAGCCTCCATGGGAACTTCCTTGGGGACAATGAGTGGCCCTGACCACAGCCACAGGGTGGGTAGGTTCTGTGCCCCACCCTAAACATTGGTGGGACCAAGGGGCAAATGGAGCTTCCTGCTACAGTTCATGAGGTTGGCTTTTACCCCACCCACCTTAGCCAGGCTGGGCAGACACAACGCCAGTTCCTCCAGAGAACTCAGGGCTCTATAAGCAGATACTAATTCATGACAACATGCTCAGTCCAGGCCAGAGAGAGATTTGCCCAAGAGTAACCCAGTGTTCCTGGTTTCTGTTGGTTTGCTGATCGCTTTAGTCAGGAGAAGAATGACTGGGATGCAAGGTGGGGACCACCCCTGTGGTAAGCAGCAGTTGCGAGACCCAGTGATTCAGGAGGAGTGTCAGCCTCCACGCGGTCTGTCAGCAGTTGGCAATCCCATGCTCGCAGAAGACAGGGCCTTGTTCTGGATCTGGAAGAGAGGAAGACTGTGAGAGCCGCATTCACCTTGGCCCTGGGGCAGTGGAGCTTGCAGGAGGCCTGTGGGAAATAGCCGTGTGCCTGTCGAGTGTCTGCCTGTGGGTAGGCTCTAGCTGGTTTTCTTCCTTACCATGCTGTGTTACTCACAGAGACAGCGATGACTCAATGACATAAACCAAGTAGGGCGTGACAGGATGTTTTCACCTGACTCAAACTCTCTCCACTGTCTCCTTGTTAACCTCAGTGTGTCCCTGTCTCATCCATGGTCCGTGCATCTTGCCGTTCAGGGGTCACAGAGTCTGAGACCTGCGCCCCACAGGCCTCCTGAGCTGCCTGCTCCTGCCTGCCTCACCCTCTGCCATGACTGCGTGCACAGTACCTTGACTTAGCTTCCTTCTGGAGGGAAGATGATGCTGTAAACACAAGATTTCCTGTCTTTTTCTTTTTTTAATCTTTTTTTTGGGGGGGGAGAGAGAGAGACAATTTCAATATTTATTTTTCAGTTTTTGGTGGACACAACATCTTTGCTTGTATGTGGTGCTGAGGATCGAACCCGGGCCGTACGCATGCCAGGCGAGCGCGGTACCGCTTGAGCCACATCCCCAGCCCCTGTCTGGTCTTTTCATTTGGGCCTTTTCTATCTGAAATGTCCAGAGCAGTGACTTGCAAATTTCAGTGCGCATCAAAGTCACCTGAAAGCTCTGATCCTAGCCCTGAGAGTCTGAGGCCGTAGAGAGCCCTGGCCCATACAGCACCCCTGAGCAGTGCTGGTGGGGTCCCCCTCACATTGCCATTGCTACCTCCTGACCCCAAGCCCAGTGGCCTTTCCTCAGTCCTCATCCTTCTAACTTCTACGTTAAACATTCCCTTTCCTCTTACTGCCATGTTCCTTGGCTATACGACTTTGAAACAGAGTCCCCTGGCACACCTAACCACCTGTCTCATCCTGGGTCCTGACCCTCATGCTGCTACATGGGGTGTCCTCTTGGGACCTTCCCTGGAATGCCAGGCCCTGTCATGTCTTCAGACGTTCTCCATCTGCATCTAATCTGAGAGCATCTTTGGGGGAATGTGCTCCTGCCCTCCTGGTGAGCAGCCCCCATGAGCCAGCCCCATCCAGGACCCACAGCTGATAATGCTTCCAGCCAGAATCTATCTGAATATTCTTTTTGTCAGGAATCCTGGGGAGGAAACACTTCCCAGTTGAGCTAGGAGCCCTTCCCAGCTGACCTTCAGGGTCTGCAACCGCCGCCTCTCTGTGGGCTCACACTGGAACTGCATTCTCCAGGACCTTGCTGGCTGCATTCCAGGGTGTTCAGAACACGACCGCCTCGGGGAACTGGTCTTAACCTGGAGATGAGCCCAAGGAAGCGTCATCCGCGCTTTTAAAAAGCAAATGCCATTGTGTATATTTAAGGTATACAACGTGTTATAAGATACATATATACACGGGGAAATGGTTACTATGGCAGAGCAAATTAGCATATCCATCATCCCACATAATTACTCATTTTCCCCTGTGGCAAAAAGCAGGCACTCATGTAGCTCTGCCTGTAACAAAAAACCTGGAATGTGATCCACTATTCACTGTTAGCACCTGTCGTCCTCACCCTGGACCTAGCTCTTCTGGCTTGTTCATCCTGCATCTGCTCTTGCTTGTCCTTTGACGGACATCGGCCCGTCCCCTCCCTCCTTTTCCTGGTAACCACTATTTTATTCTCTGTACATTTGACTTTCTTTTTTAAAGTCTGTACATAAGTGGGGTCATTGACTGTTTTGCTTTTGAGTCTGGCTTCTTTCACTCGGGCTCACGTCCTCCAGGTCCATTCATATTGTAGCAAATCTGCACCGAGAGGAGAGTTGTAGGCAAGGTGCCTATAGTTCCAGCTGCTCCAGAAGCTGAGGCAAGAGGATTGCTTGAGCCCAGGGGTCCAAGGCCGGCCTGAGCAACACAATAAGATGCGGTCCCAGGGAAGTAACACTTAAAAATTAGGTAATTAAAAAACTTGAAAACAAAGAAGTTGGGGAGGAAACTTGTCAGATTCCACGCAGCCCCATGGGTGAGACTGGGGAGGTGGGAGCCACCCACCCAGCAGAGGCCCGCTTCTGAGGCGAGCACCCCTCAGCCAGGCCTGGTCAGTAGCACAGTTTTTCAGAAGTGGGGGTGAGACCAGATTTAGCCGCGGAGAGGCTGAACTCTGTGCCTGTAAGGTGACGGCAGGACACTTCTCGGCTGAGCTCGGGGATGCTTAGTGCAAAGGGAATGGTGTGTGTGATCTTGCAACTGGAACCTCACACCTCCATCCGGAGTCACTGGGGGGCTCTGGGGCATCTCCAGGCCTCCTTGTTTCATGGCAGAACCAGCCTGTGTGAGGAACCGACCTGCAGTTTAGAGTCATGGTCTCCATTCATCCTCGACTCTCCAGGCCGATTGGGAAGATGCCTCCCCTGTCTTTACACTTCTCCTTGTGTTTAAGTTGTGTTAACACTTCCTGTTTAGAAAGGAGAGCCAGCGAGCTGCGGGTGGTGGGGCACATTGACCATCCAGCTAACGTGCGTGCGTCTCCATGCGTGGGCATCTCGGGAGACTGTGTGGCCTCCTCATTCAACCAGTTACTGCAAAATGAGAAAAGGCAGCTGATTCTGCCTCCATTTTGTTCCTGCTCAGCCCACTCCAGGAGCTAAAAGCCACTTTTGCTTTTTGTCTTTCAAATCCCTCAAAGTGAGAGCAATTTAGAGCTCTATTTGAAGCTATCAGAGCTCTCTTTCTGTGGGGAAGCCAAGGCCAAGGTTTGGTTGATCACTGCATTTTCCCAGACGTCTTGTTTTCAGCAATTTTTCCTTCTTAACTCTTGCTCTTAACATTCCCCTCGGTGCCCAGCAGAGCTGCCTGGCTCTCTGGGGAGTGTTTGGATGAGTTTAGAGGCTTCCTAGTTGTCACCAACACTGACACTTGGGGCTGGCCCCTCCTGACAGTGCCTGGAGTCTCAAGGAGAGCCTTCATCCTGATTTCAACTGCAAAACACAGGAATACACCCATCGCCAGAGCCACCGCCAGCAGCTGGGAGGTCTGCTTGCTCTTTGGGCCTCACATTTCTGTGGGTGGCTTAGTCCTCAACTGAAAGAGCAAGTTTCCACTGCTGTGGGATACCCTCCACCCTGTCCCTTTCGGGCCACCGGGGAGCCGTCGTTCATTCATTTGTTCACTCATTCATTCATTTCCTAAGCACCTGCTAGGTGCCGGGCCTCAGGGATGCAGTCATGGGGAAAAAAAAATGTGAGAGAACCATCTA